TATTGGCCCGTTTTCTGTCACCAAAGTTCTTAGTCCGGTGGCAGTCCGTCTCAAACTTCCTCTGGCATACAGGAGAATTCATCCCGTGTTCCATGTCTCCAAATTAAAACCTGTTTTTCGTTCACCCATTAATCCGCCTGCCCCGGTTCCCCCACCGCCGCGTCTCATAGACGGGGAACCCACCGATTTGGTTAACCGCATTCTGGACTCAAGACGGAGGGGACGCGGATTTCAGTACTTGGTGGACTGGGAAGGTTATGGTCCGGAGGAGAGAAGTTGGGTTCCTGCTAGGGACATTCTGGACCACTCCCTTATTGATGATTACAATCAACAGGTAGGTTCGTCTGGGAGCGCCAGGCGGCGTTCTTAGGGGGAGGGGTCCCGTCACGGTTCATGGGCTCACTGACTCATTCTAGCCCTCTCCGTGTCATTGTGGGTGTGGGTGTGGTTTGTGTTGCCGGTGATCAGCGCCATCAGCTGATTAAGCGCCAGCTGTGGCTGATCAGCTGGCCTATTTAAGGTCTGTGTTTTCTGTCCTGTGTTGTCAGATCGTTTTATCTGACTCATTCTAGCCCTCTCATTGTGGGTGTGGGTGTGGTTTGTGTTGCCGGTGATCAGCGCCATCAGCTGATTAAGCGCCAGCTGTGGCTGATCAGCTGGCCTATTTAAGGTCTGTGTTTTCTGTCCTGTGTTGTCAGATCGTTTTATATCGTCACCCTGTTCAGTTCGTGTCTCTCTGTTCTCTGACCAGTTCCTGGAGTTTCCTCCTCTCCTCTGCCGTGGGCTTCGCTGCACGGATCCTCGATCATCGGCTGCTCATTGTGTTCCTGCGCTACCCGGAGTTACCTCCACCTTTTACTGACTTTGGTCATCTTCCTTTGGGAATTCCCAATAAGCGTTGTTTTGCACATTCGCTACTGAGTCCTCATTCTTTCTCCCTGACATTAATAAACAAACAAACAATCAAACAAGTAATCACAAAGGTGATAATTGAAAGGTGAATGTATGATGGTTTAAATGTATGTTAAAGTTGCAATATGTAACTTTTTTTTGTTTAAAAATGAAAAAATAGTTAATTGAGCAAGTACACAACACATTCATTATTCAGTCTCCCTACTTTGATTCACAACAGTAAGCTTATAATAATGATTTATAATTTTAGGTGTCAGGTCAGATTTCACAGGAAATTCATCAGTCATTAGTCAGTTTGATGTCATTTGTCCATAAACAGAAAAAAAGACCCGACTACTACCGTGTGTGGGTGGAGCATTCGTAGCTTGTTCTTACAACAGTTGCTTAGAATTTAAACTTGTCATCTTAATGGATACATTTAATCAGCAAAGTGCTAAATGGCAATCATTGGGGCAAAACTAAGAAAAAAAGTTAATTAACTATATTAATTGCTCCAACCCCTTTTCAATGACCAAATGTCACATTTGAGTCATTGTTTAGCCAGTGTTAGTTCCTGTTTCCTTTCCTCAGATTTCTAGTTTCTATGGTTATTCATTGGTTAATTGATTATGTTCACCTGTGCCTGGTTTAGTTATTCGTCATCTTGTCTTTATATGCCAATGAGTTCCTTGTCCAATTGTTCTGCTGTTCTGTTTCACTGTTACATGTCTTCATTCATCCAGGTGTGCTCCTGTATTCATTTTTTTTCTTTGTTTTGTTGGATAAATAATGGATAAATTACACGGCTGTGATTAGATCCAGCTCTACCTCTCCTCTTACTTTACCTGCCTTACTTGACCATAGCACCAAAATGAGCAGAGTAAAAAAAACCTGGGCTTGAAATTTGACTCAAACCTCTTTTTATTTGTGATAGTGTCTCAGCTCAAATTACATTCACTGGTGAATTTAGAAAGCCAAACAATGTGAAAATAATAAATAAATAAAATATTTAAAAAGTTTAATTGCAACATATAATCATTGCAGTTAATAGTGTTCACCGTCTGTTTGATTACGTGTAATTTGTAACTAACTGCATGATTTTTACTGTACATTTCTGCCATAGTCACCACTAATAAGCTACAACTAAATACTCCTCTATATATATATATATATATATATATATATATATATATATATATATATATATATTTAATGCGTTAAAATAATTTAACGCAAAATTACTGAAGCACAATTTCTATTCTATCCCTCTGACCCAATTTTGCTTCTCTGCTTGTGATCAGATCATTTTAAGCTGCTAAACGCCGGGAAAGTTTTCAGTCCAATGATCCAGTAAGCGAATGCATTCGAACAATCCATCCAAAAAAGCGCTAATATAAAGGAAACCAGGCTGATTACATCCGAGATTGCAGAGAGAACAGAGACTCGCGTTGCGTTTTCAGTGAATTATTCATTCCAGTGTGTTTGGCTTTTAAACACGAGCTCTGTCATATTCTGTGATTGTCTCTGAAGAGTGCGAGCCCTCACACGTCACACGCTTGTGTGAAGTACAGACTGAACGGATTGTCAACACATCCCACCATTGTATGGTCAGATGAGACACAAACTACGTTTTCTCGACTGAATAACCAGTCTCGCTAGTAAAGTTAACATGGATGAAGACAGCAATCGAGGTAAAGACGATTGCAGTGGCATACAGAAGTCGTACAGTAAGCACGCGTGAGTCCGTTATAATAATGCGTGTATAAGTGCTCTTGACGCACTGATCGCACATTGTATTTATGCACAGGCACAGACATTTCCATACATTCATGTTCACGATGACGTTTTGATTTGTCATGTTTATGTTTAGCTATAAGGAATGGATCCGTGTACTGTAGTAGATATATGCAGTCAGCAGGTGGTTGGTTTAGTTTTTTTTTTGGCATCTCCATGTGGTCCTGTTCGGTATCGCAACTTGACTTCTCTAAAATGTAAAAAAGCTCTTTGCGTTTTTTTCCCCCTTTCATATATGCTTATATGGGCTCCTTATATCATTTGTTTCTTTGGTGTCCTTTTGGATTTTCTAAGTGTCCTTTTTTGGAAAGACATCTAAATTTATCTTGAAAAAAGCTTGCAGAAAATACAGATTTTTATATATATATATATATTGTATACAAGGGAATACATATCTATGTTATGGCATAGTTATTAAACACTATTCATACACATATTCAAGCAGGGTAAATGTGAAAGTCAAACCTCAGTATGTTTAGTTGACAGTATGAATTCTCCAGTCCAGCACAGAGTAGCCTCACTCCAGAATTCTGCAGGACATTGCTACTCATGTCCAACTCACAAAGACGGGAATTTGGAGACTGTATAGCTGATGACAAATGTTCACAGTGGCAATCAGATAGTCGACATCCAGCAAGTCTATAACAGAGGGTGACAGGAGAAGGATGGTTATAGTCATGTTTTCTGTGTTCTGTGAATTCAGTTTTTTTGATAACATAGTTAATATCCTTAGTCTTTGCTATTAAATGTTATCCACCAATTAACATCACAGGTCATGCATGAGCCTGAAGCCATTAGAACCAAGAAAATTGGCCAAATGACCTTTAGCTATGAACTTAAGCACCCACTCATGAAAAACTCTCATCTTTATTTGGCATACAGCAAGAGACCTGAACTATAATTAATGTACTTACCCAATGCACTAGACTAGCCGTAGTACCTAATTTGCAAAGGTGGAAAGTAATTAATTACATTTACTTGTGTTACTGTAATTGAGTAGCTTTTTTGAGTACTTCTATTTTTAATCTGTAATTTTACTTTTACTTAAGTATATTTTGTTTGAAGTATTGTATTTTGCTACATTTTAAAACACATTAGTTACTAAGTAAAATGTAAATGCAAAAAAAAATAAAAAAATCGCGCCCTGGAAACTATTGCAGTGAATGATGGGCAGGAGAACAAACTGGCGCTAAAATCACAAGAAAGATGAAGACGGACAAGACAGACATTAGTGGTGCAGACCCAGCTGACAACGAAACTAGGGCCCTATGATTTCCGTGATGTGGAAAACGCGGATGGATTCGGGGAATCCGGTCATAAAAATGTAATTTACTGTATAATGCGGAACGTCACAGAGTTTGTCAAAGTTTGTGTGAATTAATCAAAAGTAGGTCATTACACTTCAATCAAATCGTGATACGGACTAGTATCTGTACATATTAAGCAACAAAAAGAATATTTAAATATGAATAGTGCATGTTCTGCATGTCTCTGTGTGAATAAAAGGCACAGACGCATGTTTTTTGGCTTTACTACACACATACTGAAATGCACACGACGCTCGCGGTGATTTCAGCATCTGCTGTATCAATATATGAGGACATGAACATATAAACAATCTCTAGAACTGCTCTGAGTCACTTTACAAGCATTTGACTGTTTCTTTTGAGAGAAACTATTGTCATATATACACACAGACATTTAAAGGTATTCATGGCAACCCATCATTTATTATTACATTATTATTTAATGTTAATAATAAATCCCTTTTGTTTGCCAAAAAAAATTCAATTGGTTAAAAGATTAATGAAATTAATGTTTTATGCCTTTATTTGATAAACAGAGACAGGGGGGGGGGGAAATATTTCATAGGCTATCGTAAAAATCAATTTGAATAAATTAAGTTGTTTTTATGCATTCAAATAGACATGCTTAATCACAGTTTGGTAACAATAAAACAGAAGGTGAGAAAACATAAATAAAATTTCATAGGGCCCTAAACATGTTTTGTTCAACTTTTAATAAATGGATATTAAATTGTATGTTTCATGATTTTAATTAATTAGACATTAGACACATTTTTTATTGATAAACTGTAATTTAACGATTTAAAAGACAAAAAAGGGTAATCCAGAACAATTTAAATGGGAAAAAATAAAACGGATTTCATAGAGCCCTACAAAAAGACCATCGTACTCGCCTGAAGTTGAATTCAAAAGAAATTAAGTGAATCCATGGCTATATTTGAGCAATCACTTTGGCAAGAACGGCAACAGCTCTATTATGCCAAGTAAGCTGTGTTTGCCCAGGGAGACCAAACTAGCAGCTTATAAAAACTCCACATCAAACCTTCACAAGCATGTTGAGGTAAGGTAAATACTTTTATCATTGCATTGGTAGTTAAAATGAAGCTTTCACAGTTTAGCAAGAGGTTTTGCACAAATTAGCCAAAAAGACAGTGGTGCAGGACTTAGCTAATGTTGGTTGGCACCAGGGTCGGAAATGAATGGGAGCTTGAGGCAAAAATGTCCCCCAAATTCAAGATTAGGAGCAAGAAGTGTCCCTGCACAATTAAGCTATTACGGTGATCACAATTTAAGTGTAATGTGAAATGAATTAAAAGTGTTCCATTTTAGAGTAGATCTGCTCATGTTGCAACAGATTTCTTTATACTCGCTGTTTGCAGCGTTGAGCATTATAACCAGTCACACACCTTTCTGTTGAGCTTTGAGTTGTTCAAGTGTGTGCGCTCACTGACTGAATACTGTATCTGCATTTGCAAATTCTGTCATAAGCATAAACAACAAAGTCCAAAATAAATGTAAGCGATTGATTTGCTTCAGTGATTAAGGGAATTTTTTTGCAAAAGTGCATAGCTCACATTAGAATGAAGTCATAGATCACTTTAGTGTCCTTTGCTTGCTTTCTTTGTGTAATGTATAATGTTTTGTTTTTCATGCTACTGAAATAATCCATGTGAAGTCTTGAATTTCTAATCCTTAAAAAGTAATAAAAAAATTCATAAACGGTTCTTAGCTAGTTTTGTCGGTAGCCAGAATATAACTTGCTTTTTCTGCCTAGTGCCTACTTAATGTGGCATGGTCAGCATTAAAATGACACATACCTCTCTAAATGTTTTAAATGTCATGTGTCAACATGTTTTATTTTGTTATTGCAGTTTAATTTGTAAAGGTGTTCCTTAAATGAAAAATAACTAGTTTGAGATTTATAATCTCCCTCCTCCCGCTGTTAAAAATCGAATTAAAGTAAATTTAAAATTTGCTACTTTTACTTGAGTAGATTTTTATACTGGTAATTTTACTTGTACTTACGTAAAATTTCATTAATGTAATAGTACTTTTACTTGCGTAGAATATTTTAGTACCCTTTCCACCTCTGCGAATTTGTATCCGATTTGTATATTATATATATATTTGCATATATAAATAGCGAGGGTGTATTATATCCAGAGGCGGACTTAACCATTAGGCAAAGGTAGGCGACCGCCTTGGGCCCCCAAAAGCCAAGGGCCCCCTAAAATGCTTTTTATATGCGAGATGTGCGTTCATTGCGAATGCACGGTTGCTGTGGTGTTCATTGCCACGACAACCGTCTGTGCAGCCGCATTGAATGTGCTTCTTAGCAAAAGTAGGTTGTTGTAGAAAATGGGTACGGAATCCCGGAATCTATTCATAAAAACGGAATTTACTGTGTAACGCGGAATGTGATGGAATGAACGGCGCAGATGCGCGTTTCATTTGCTATTTAAGCACGTGCAACGCTCGCGGTTGTCGTCTGTAGTAGCTAAATAGTATTTTTTCAATTTAATATTCACATACACTAGTCCATATTTGATTGAAGTGTACTGAATTGCATTTGATTTATTCATTCAATATTTGACGAATTCCGTGACATTGCTTGTTCCACAGTTAACTTGTGTAGCATTTTGAATGTACAAAAATTAAAGGGTTTGTTTAATTTTCATTGGAATAAAAGATAGATTCATGTTTTTGCCTTCATTTGATTACCAGAAAAATGACAATACACAACACAGAATAAAAATTAAAAAAAGTAAATTAAATGTAAATTAAAATTTCATAGGGCCCTATTATTGTATACAAATTAATAAATTAAGTTGTTTTTATGAATTCAATTAATTAGATATGTTTTTGATTAAACCATTAAAATGGAATACAGAAAAATTTAAATGGAAAGCACAGAATTTGGGCCCTAAGAATGTAATTTTTGTTAAACTTTTAATAGGCCTAAATTGCTGTTAAATTAAACAAGTTTCATGATTTTAATTAATTAGACATGTTTTTTGTTAAAATTTAATATAATCATCCAGAAAACAAAAAAACGAAAAAGAAAAAAAAACTGAATCCAGAAAAATGTAAACGGAAAAAAAGATTTTGGAAAAAATAAAACAATAAAAATAAATGTATATTTTAAAGTTTAGAATTAGACAGCCTTGCGTTGTGTAGACAATTGCATAGTGAAAATTACCCCAATGCACCACCCTACTCTAATACTTTTATCACCTGTTTAAATGTGAACAATGGATTTACAGCATTAAAGAAATCCTTCATTTATAACATGTACATGAAAAATCTAAAAGATTAGACACAACTATGGGACACGGTCGTGCAGCAGCGAGCAACAGTGAAAGGAACCTCAAGGTTGTAAATGTGTGAAATTGTATATGGCCCCATTCCTGTATTTTGCCTGGGGCCCCCAAATCACTAAATCCGCCCCTGATTATATCATATCATATTTTACATGCTCTCATAGCCATGACTTCTTGTTTATTACCGAAACCTGGGTGAAGGTAGGAGACTTAAGCCCCTATTCAGAACACATTCCGACTGACTATTGTTTCTATAATGCTCCCCGACCCACCGGTAGGGGAGGTGGGTTGGTGATCATCACAAAGTGTAACACTCCACTTAATATTATAGCAGTGGTACACTAAATCAAAGGGAATGTCTGTCCCGCTCAAGCAATGCCTATGAATAACCCACAACAACCAATAAAGCGTCAATAAACCCACAGTGTATTTACAATGCAGTTTTTCAATAACCCAGCCTTCATCAATAACAAACATTCAGATGAAAACATAAAATACAACAAGATTGGCGAGTGTAGTTGTGTGTTTGAGTGTGTGTAAACAGTCCAGCGTGTTGAGTGAATACAAGATCAGTATCACCGGTAGGGATGGGTATCGATAAGGTTTTAATGGTATTACTACTCTTACCGATACTGCTTATCGATCTGCTTAATATTCTGAAATGTAAAATAAATATTTAATGAAATGAATATAAAACATACATTTGTAAATGCACCAGTGTGCAGGCATTTTTAGTTTTTTATATACACAAGATAAGATACAGTAAGAACACGAACAAAGAAACAAATTAAAACAAACTGACAAATACAATAAAACAAAGATACAACTGAAATATTTTTCCATGAAGGTCTACTAACATTACTGTTCAGGTAAGTAATATAGCCTACAAAAGAAATCTACTAAAGTAATCAAATGTAAATGAACACTGCATAGTTTTCACTGTATGAATTGATAGATCAATGCTTATTAAAGCTAACGTTATTCAGACTGAGAGCTGTGAGTGAATTTCTCTTTGCATTTTGTTGTATATTGACACACATCTGATTTTCTCCCAACTGTTCTCGTCCACTTAAGACATAAAGTGTGTTTAAGTGTACACTCTCCAAGCTGGCCATTTTGGCATATTGTGTGTGTATTTGATCGCTTGGACCTGTACCCAAAGCCCAAAGTGTAATTTGCTTGTCTAGTTGCGGCCCTTATTGGAGCGCGCGCAGTGCGCATACACATTTCAGCCTGGGGACAGCATCTCTTGCGCGGATTATTGTGCTTTCAACGTTTTATTATCAAAAACATGTCCCGCAATTAAGCAACAGTAAACGGCATTTTACAACATTCACTGATTGTGCTGATTCTGACGTTAAGTTTGGATTTTAGGGAAAAACGAATGCGCACCGCTGTTAAGGGAAGGAAGTTGCGCTAGACGAAACGTGGCTAGTTTTTAATAGTTTTACCTCATATCTTCTTTTTTATAATCCTTAAGAATCTAAAATCGAAATAAAATATAAAATTAGCTTAATATCACAGCCACAGGCCTAAAGTCTAAGCAGATGTTTGAATGTTTAGTTCTCTCCTCTATTACAATTAAACAGGGATTTCATGTTGTGCGCGCTGAAGCTCCTCCGCGTGAGCGCGATCTCGCTTCTGAATTGCAAATAGCAAAAATGCATCATAGATAAATGTCTGAATATTATTGCATATAAAAACAGCTGGCGACTCTGGTGACATAGAATTTGCAAGATAATGTCTATAGGTCCTATAGCAATAACAAATGTAGGCTATGTGTGTTTTTTTAATCTCTTCAGTACGGACAGCAGAACCGTTAACATCAGAGCTTATCGATACTCCGGTCTGATAGCAGAATCTTTTCTTTTAGTCCAACTGTTCAAAGTCCTCAAAGGTGAGTAATCCAAGCAAAAAATTGCAAAAAGATATACTCCACAAAGAGACAGCAGCAACAATAGCCATTCAGGAACAGCCGGGAGTTTGCCCCAACAAACGATTCACGACCGAGAGTAAAACCACGTGTGCTTCTCTCTGGCCATTCTACCGTCATCTCTATATATACACACGTGTAGAAGTGCTTACTTCCGGACTGCCGGGCGTAAACTGACGTAATGAGTTAAATCACATCTCGCGATAACAGATTTAGGGCTCAAACACAGTAAAACATACAGGAAAATAAAAGCATATAGGGATAATAAAGCATTCTTACTTTTATAGAACAACAATTTACATATATAAACCCCATTATGTGGCCACGCTACAAAAGAAAACTTTTAAACCCAGATGTTGGCTATTATCCTCCACCACCTATATGAGCTTTGAAGCTAAACTACTACTACTTGACTGGTCTGAATCGTTTTAGTGCTGATATATCGGCCACCACACTTAGATAAAAATTTTCATAGAGTTCACAGGGGATCTGAGATCTGATTACTAAACATGACCAGTTTCTTTTTGCATGTGACTTTAATGTCCAGGGGCCTGTACCATGAAGCCGGATTAGCTGGCTAGCCAGGTAAGTTTCAATTTAGTTTGCACCAATCCTGGGTTTTAGGTACCATGAAAGTGGCTTGGATTTTAGCGGCATTCATTGCCATAGTAACTTACTCTCCACAGCTAACCTGCTCCAGGGCAGGTTATGTTCTGGGTTAGAGATCTCAAACTGAAATTGGACCAATCAGATGTGAACAAAGTGACACATGTCTGACTCAAAAAAGTCACTCCCCCAGTTTCTCTTGCTCCAAATTAAAGGTCACTAGTACAAAACAATAGTTTGGCTTTAATGATAATTCGAGTTATTTTATATGATTTATATAATTATTATATGATTTATATTATTATTAATCCATTACACAATTTTAGCAATTTTAGTTTAACAGTTATTATAAATCATTTATTTTAAATGAATATTAATATATACAGATCATTTGCAATATAAATCAGCTGTAGAAGCAATAGATAATGCTTTAAAAATGACTACGTGGCCTTACATGTATAGTCTCTATCGCTGTATATTTTCAACTATATAAACTAACTTAGCAAGTTTCACTTGTGACTGCAAGAAATAATGCAATGCAAGAAAATGTATTTAATTTTTCATGAACAAGTACTTTTTTCAGTGTAAATGTGTTTAAATTTGTCATATTCTACAATCGCTTAACCTTTAGCAAAACCTTTAACTTTTAGTTTGGAATCTCGCTGGGTCTCTCACGAGAAGTGAATCATACTTGCTCTGTGTTGCAAGGCATGTGACTGGCTGTACACCAGTGATGTCACACATTCGTGTGCACGCACTCCACAAACTCAGGATCAAAGCCTGAGTTGACCAAGCAAGCTGATGATCAGCGTTGATCATGGTACCAACAAAACTGGATTGGAGTGGTTTGGTTTTGTCAACTCAAAACTAATCCTGTAACTCTGAATTTGTTCAACTACCATCATGGTACAGGCCCCAGGTGTGTTGTCCTTGTAAACAGCTAACAACAGACTTTTTGAACACTATTGACTCTTTTAATCTGCTGCAATTGGTTAATCATCCTACACATACCCAAGGCGACACTTTGGACTTAATATTGGATCCTGGACTGTCTATAACTGACATTAAAGTGGTTGATAGAAAAAAATTGTTTTTTTTTAGATTTCTAAGCCAGTTTCTCAGCTGTAGTTATGAAACACCTATTCATTCCCACAACTGAACTTAGTGAATGAGTAAATGTGAAAGTCAGACCTCAGTATGTTCAGTTGACAGTGTGAATTCTTCAGTCCAGCACAGAGCAGCCTCACTCCTAAATCCAGCAGGTCATTGTTACTCATGTCCAGCTCTCTCAGATTGGAGTTTGATGATTGTAGAGCTGAACACACAGTTTCACAGTGCTGATTAGAGAGACAACATCCAGCAAGCCTATAACAGAGAATGACATGGAGATGGACAAAATAAAATAATGTTTTCTGCATTCTGTGCATGATATATATGAAGGTCTCTGATCATGACACAGGTCATGACTGATTCAGAGTCTCTCTGAAAACCATAACAAATCTAAAACATGGATGCATTATGCATGGATGCTTTAGTAAAAACTTACACTGATCAACTAACAAAGCCTCATTTTTGCTTGGATTTAAAATAATACTAAGGAGACAAAATTTATAATATTTCATTTTTAAAATATAATTCTTTACCGAGAAATGTACATGACTGTTCAAAAAAATCAAGTTTTTCAAACGTTTGAAAGGTCTATCATAAAACTGTACACAGGTAACAATACAACCAACAAAATGCAACCAAATCTCATTCACATTTTCATCAAAATTGTTTATAAATAAATATTTTGCCATACTTTTTAACTGTTTTATTGATTCAATATTAAATCCAATTATGAGCCTATTACCATTCATAGAACTGAATAGTAAGATGACATGAATCAATACTCACAGAGCTTTTCTGCAGTTCATCACAGCTGGTATCAGTCTCCATCTCCCCTCATATGATGTGTTGTATTTTGTAGGCTCAAACTTATCCAGCACCTCTTCTGACATCTGAAGCATGTAGGCTATTGCTGAGCAGTGAACAGGAGAGAGTTTCTTCTCTGAGTGTTGGTCTGATTTGACAAACTCCTGAATCTCTTTGCACAGGGTCTGGTCATTCACTTCTAGTAGACAGAGGAACAGACTGATGGATCTATCAGCTGAGAGATTATAACAATTGATTGTGTCTTTAATGTACTGTGCGGTTTCTTTGATGGTTTCTGAGCTGTTCTCTGAGCATGTCAGTAGATTCTGTAAGAGTCTCTGATTGGACTCCAGTGAGATACCCAGCAGGAACCGCAGAAAAAGATCCAGGTGTCCATTTTTACTCTTAAGAGTTTTGTTGGCAGCTGAAGTTAGTAACTTACACAAAGCATTTCCCTGAGACCTCTCTTGCTTATATTCATAATGTTCACATTCTTCATGCAGAAACAACTGCAACGGCTCCATGTTCTTCATCAAATGGGAGAAAAACACATATAAAGCAGCTAGAAACTCCTGAAAGCTCAGATGTATGAAGCAGTACACTTTCTTGTGCTGAATCACAGATTCCTGCTTAAAGATCTCAGTGCAAATCCCAGAATACACTGCGTCAGTGATGTCTATGCAACAATCTCTCAAGTCCTCCTCATAGAACATGACATTACCCTTCATCAGCTGTTTGAAAGCCAGTTCACCAAGTTTCACAATCACTTCTTTGTTGGACTGCATACGTTTTTCAGTATCTCTCTCTTCATACTTCTGATTCTTCATGCTTGTCTGAATGAGCAGGAAGTGGATGTACATTTCCGTCAGAGTTTGTGGGATTTCTGTATCTTGTTTTACAATTCTTTCAAGAACAGTGGCTGAGATACAACAGAAGACTGGTATGTGGCACATGATGTGGAGGCTTCTTGCTTTTCTAATATGGGAAATGACTCTGCTAGCTTGATCCTCATCACTTATTCTCTTCCTGAAATATTCCTCCTTCTGAGGCTCATCAAATCCTTGAATTTCTGTCACACGGTTAATGTACCTGAAAGGGATCTGATTGGCTGCTGCTGGTCTGGAGGTGATCCAGATGAGAGCAGAGGGAAGCAGTTCTCCTTTCAGGAGGTTTGACATCAACACACCCACTGATGAAGTGTGAGTCACATCAGAAACTTTCTCATTGTCTGAAAACATCAGTGCAATTCTGCTTTCATCCAGACCATCAAAGATGAACACAACTTTACACTCCTCATAAATTCTTGGGTTCAGTTCATGAAGTTTAGGATGAAAGTCAAGCAAAAGTCTGTCAAGACTGAACTGATTATCTTGAATCAAGTTTAACTCTCGAAATGGAAGCACAAACATAAAATCTACATCCTGATTGGCATTTCCCTCGGCCCAGTCCAGAATGAACTTCTGCACAGAGACAGTTTTTCCAATTCCAGCGATGCCTTTGGTAAGAACAACCTTTATTTTGTTTTTCTTCTCACATCCTGGTTCAGTTGAGGGTTTGAATATATCATTACAGTAGATTGGAGTGTCTTGTGAGTGTTGTGTTCTGGGTGTCTTCTCAACGTGTAAAACCTCATGTTCTTCATTCACCCATTCACTCTCTCCCTCTATGATGTAGAGCTGTGTGTAGATCCTGTTTAGGAGGGTTTGATTATCTTGTAGTTTGACTGGCTCAAATAAGCTTTCATACTTGTTCTTCATGCTGGTTTTATGTTGGTCTTTGACTCTCTGTAGTTCATCATCAACTGGTTGGTGAAGAACCTGCTTCAGGATTTTAGTCTGATCATCTCTATCCACACTGCAGAAACAAGAACAATACAAAGAATGAATGAGAGAGTGGGCAGCTACTAAATATTCTAGTAAAGCCATGTGGCATTCTCAAAACCAGCTGAGAAACAATAAACTGCTTAATACAGGCTCAGACTTTTTTTTCCCCAGAAACTATCCCCGATTAGCTTTACTTTTTAAATGACAGTTAGTAAAAATCTCCCGCAAATAAAAGAACACAAAGAATCTCCCAAGATCTCACCAGAGGATGCTTAAACAACTCAAGAAGCTGTATGTTCAGACATGTTCACTTATTTCTTTAAATAATTTTTCTTTCTTGTTTTCTCGTAATCACAACTTAATTTTATTGTGATCTCGAAATAGCACAAGTTGATAATCTGACATAACTGATAACACAAAAACAGGTATACTTTTCAAAATGTCATTGAAGCCACTGAAATAATATGATATAATAATTTACTAGAATTCGCCTTTGGAAAATTCGTAAAAAAGATGTTTACCTACTGTTTCCAGTCTACCAGTCTGTCAATAAGTAGACATCTGAGTTACTACTTTTCCAAAAGCTAAGATGGGATTGAAAATGTATGCCCTTTCCTTTAAAGGGTCATGAAACCCTAGACTACTTTTTCTGAGATTTTAGCAGAGGTGTTTGTGTTGCACATCATAGAATAATGTTAGCATCCGATAATTTTAACTGTTGGAGAAAACTGGTTAATTTTAAGCTTTTTTGTGCCATTTTCACCTTCTGGGTTTAAAATCTACATCGTGTTGACGTCACAATTTGTGACATGGCAATGGGAGATACATCGATGATGCATCTGTGTCTATTAAATTATTCTTGAGACTGCGTGTTCTTATCCTATGAGAAGACGCGTCACTTAATTATTCACAACAGCATGTGTTGATTTGCTATGACAGACGTTTCAGACTATGAGATGACATCGCACATTAACTGAGAGAAACGTTCATGGATCGAAGAAGAGTGTTTGTTTTTGCTTTGTAATAACCGTTTAACCGAGTGTAACCATTTTTACAACTCCGTGACACAGCCTGTCAAAATGCTTATATAAACGCTGCAGAATAAGCCTTAAAAGTTATCAGAGGTGCAACAGCGCATTCATATTAGGGCTGGACGATTAATGGAATGCGAATGCCATGCGCATTTTGTTAGTAAAGCCGGTTCTATAATCAGCAGTAATTATCACATGCTTTCAGATGGAGCAGCATTTAGGCTACTACACAGAGCCGTAGTTCACTGACAAGTTACTCAAAAAAAATCGTAGACGATTTTATTGCGCGATTATGAAATCGAAGAAATCGTTCGCAATAATGACAGCTGTTTGCATAGCTTCTCAGTGAACTACGGCTCTGTGACGTAAATGCTGCTCCATCTGAAAGCATGTGAAAATACCACATTTAATAACATATTTTTACTCCAAACTCACTTCATAGCGTCAGTCGAGTGTTTGAAATAAATCCTTCTGTGAGATGATGTGGCTTCTTACACAGAATAAGGTACGCAACATATTTCATAGTATTTAAGTAGTTATAACGGCATTGCATTATAAACATACTTTATTTTAATGAAAATTATAATACTAATAACTCAGATAAACCATATATTGTCATGATCGATCGTGTGTTTATTAGTCACGTTGAATCAATAAAAGCTGTTAAATCTTCTGTTTATCCAGCTACCGCTATAGGCATTTTCTGGGTTTCTTCTGCGAGGAGTATTTGGAGTTTCAAGTAGACTCAGTAACGTTAAACGTGAGAGACCTGAGTTCAATCCCCATCTAGAACAACCCCGTTACAGCATGACAATCGCAGCTTCTATCGAATCACAATTTCGATTCCATTTCGATTTATTGTGCAGCCCTAGTTCATATATATTTTCAATGCAGTGTGCAAATGGCTGTGCATTTATTTGTGTTTTTAACTCGATGGGAGCAAAATGAAATGGTCTGAACCCGAAGCTGTGTGTGTTGTCTGTCTCCCCTCTTCCCCCTCCGCTCCGCAGCACACCACGCCCACTTTTTTAGCGTTTTTTAAAACTGTGGTGAGAACTAACCAATGCTGAAACGGGGGGTTTCATAACCCTTTAAATATAGGCGCACACAGTCTGGTTTACTGACAAAGTTGTTTTTCTCAAAAAAGTTTAGTGAACCATGCAATCAAAACCTTCCACAGGACCCCATACAGAAATGTAATATAGGACATATGTTGCCCTATAACAATAGTAATATTGCCATACATGTTATCTTTAAGGCCATGTAAAAAATGTAATTACATACATTCTCTGGATAGATGAAGATATAATTTTATAACAAATATAAAATCCCCGAAATGTATATATTTACATGTAGTTTAAGATATCTGTATTTTAATATGTATGTAGTATCTTAATATATATTTAGTAAAAAAAAAAAAAAATACTAATATAGATTGTGTTTGTCTGTATTTGTGAGTTAAATTGAGATCAGATCATAATGCCATTATCTACAAATTTTAAATTGGTTCACAAAGTTATGTTTGCCACTGTATTTCATTATCAATGAGCCAAATATTTTCTATAAAACAACAAAATTACCTACAGCTAAACCTTTGTCAATTCTCAGTAACAACTTGTCTACAGTACAAGAATGAAAGAAATAAAGTCAAGCTTACTAATATGTGAAGATGATAATGCTGTTTTTGCTTAAGGTTAAGCATCCTCTGGTGTGTTTTTGAGAGATTTAATTTTTTTTTGTTGTTGCAGATGATTTCATTTAAGGCTCTGTGGCTTTAACAGGGTTTCTGCAGACATGAACAAGTTAAATTTAAGACTTTTTAAGACCTTTTTAATACCACCTTATATGAAATGTAAGACCTAAACCTATAATGGAAATACACATTTTATTACGTACATATATGTACAAACCCAATTCCAAAAAAGTTGGGATACTGTACAAATTGTGAGTAAAAAAGGAATGGAATAATTTACAAATCTCATAAACTTATATTTTATTCACAATAGAATATAGATAACATATCAAATGTTGAAATGTCATGCCAAATATTGGCTCATTTTGGATTTCATGAGAGCTACACATTCCAAAAAAGTTGGGACAGGTAGCAATAAGAGGCCGGAAAAGTTAAATGTACATATAAGGAACAGCTGGAGGACCAATTTGCAACTTATTAGGTCAATTGGCAACATGATTGGGTATAAAAAGAGCCTCTCAGAGTGGCAGTGTCTCTCAGAAGTCAAGATGGGCAGAGGATCACCAATGCCCCCAGTTAGTTTTGACTGCTTTTATTGTCCTCATTTGTAAGTGGCTTTGGATAAAAGCATCTGCTAAATGACTAAATGTAAATGTAAGTCTCGAGACAAACAGAGTGAGCCTCAGCAGCGTGACCTTGTATTCTGTATTCTGCTAACTTACTGCAGTTCTCTCTGATGACGCAGTAACTTACCGCGGGGAAGTTTTCTTCGGTCTGTCCAATGATTGTAAAGTCATTAGGTCCGTCAGACTGAAGATATTTTAGCAGTAATGAGACCAAAAATATTTAACCCATCGAATCCGAATTTAAGACATTTTAAAACTTTTTAAGGCCTTACATTAGGAAAACGTTATTTAAGACATTTTAAGACTTTTTAAGGATCCGCGGACACCCTGCTTTAAGTCAGTTGTAGTTGCTGTGCTGTCTGCTTGTCTCTTCTTTTTTTTCTGTTCTTGCCATTCCTTTATCTTTCCCTCAGCAATTTTGCTTGTCAATTCTCATTTGTAAAGTGAATCTACTTTATTTCAGTACTACATTTACTCTCTGAAAAATACACCCATATTTACATGAAACACTGTTCATTTAACACTCGATAACAGGGATATTGATTGGATCTGCTGAACAAATCAACGCATGTTACCGCTCAATTCGGCATGCGTGTCGGTCTTGTTCCGATGTAGGACAGAATGAAATTTTAGAGGGGACTGAGGATAATACATGAAAATGACACAAGGACATTTTAGAAGACTTATTGACTTTTTGATAAAGCTTGATTAAAAAAAAATTATGCTGAGCATTTTCCCTCACACAATGAAGGAAAAATGTGACCCTGGACCACAAAACCAGTCATACGGGTAAATTTTTTGAAACTGAGATTTATACATCATCTGAAAGCTGAATAAATAAGCTGACGTATAAGCTTGATGTATGGTTTGTTAGGATAGGACAATATTTGGTCAAGATCCAACTATTTGAAAATCTGGAATCTGAGGGTGCAAAAAAATCAAAATACTGAGAAAATCGCTTTTAAAGTTGTCCACATGAAGTTCTTAGCAATGCATATTACTAATCAAAAATTAAGTTTTGATATATTTATGGTAGGTAAATGGTATGGTAAATTTACTAAATATTTTCATGGAACATGATCTTTACTTAATATCCTAATGATTTTTGGCATAAAAGAAAAATTGATAATTTTGACCCATACAATGTTTTTTATTTTTGCTATTGCTAAAAATATACCCAAGACTGGTTTTGTGGTCCAGGGTCACAAATATTCATCTGCTTTGTTGTCTCTTGTGAGGAAAATGTTTATGATGCTTAAAACACTCACACAAAGTTGCACATTTTAAAATGTGTTTTTAAAAGCATGTCGTGCTCAAGTCCGTTTGTCTGCAATTTTGACTTTTTTTTCTAAGAATTGCATGATACAAACTCACAATTGCGAGTTATAAAGTCAAAATTGCGGAATTGCAAGATATAAATCCGCAATTCTGAGAAATAGTCAGACATAAAATCTCAATTGTAAGAAAAGTCAATCTTTTTCTTTTCCTCAGAATTGGACTTTATAACTCGCAATTGCAAGTTTATATCAAAATTATGAAAAAATAAGTCCGAATTGAGAGATATAAACTGACAACTGCAAGAAAAATACTCAAAATTGTGATAATTAGATATAAACATGCAATTCTGACTTTATAACTCACAATTGCGACTTTACAGGTGCATCTCAATAAATTAGAATGTCGTGGAAAAGTTCATTTATTTCAGTAATTCAACTCAAATTGTGAAACTCGTGTATTAAATAAATTCAATGCACACAGACTGAAGTAGTTATTTATTTTGTTTATTGAATTTATTTAATACACGAGTTTCACAATTTGAGTTGAATTACAGAAATAAATGAACTTTTCCACAACATTCTAATTTATTGAGATGCACCTGTAGATTTTATGAAAATGACATTGTAATTCTTCTCTCTTCTGTGATAGTGACTGTAATATTAAATAATGTTTCAATCATGTTTGTACTCACACAGGGTCGGTGGTCATTGCTTTATCACTGAGATCAGGTGGATGACGCATAGATCCATCACTCTTCATCAACACACAGGAGGATACTGAACATGATTCTGTCTGACTTTCCTTTTGCCTGATGCTGAGAAAAACACATGGATAATTCATATTAAATCTCTATCACTGATGTTTATCAGGGTCATGAACTGAATAATCAAACTTTTTAAATGTTTTTATTTAAAATGATAGAAACAGCTAAAAGGACACATATGCAAAAAGCACACTTAATTGGTGTAAAAATCATATTGCATCTTACAACTGCACACACACACACACACACACACACACATATATATATATATATATATATACTAACAATAAATACATAAATACTTTAGTGCTTACTCAGGTTGCCTTTGTTTTATATTGCATTTCATTTGAAGATCTAAAGCAACGTAGATATACATAAAAAAAAACAAGAAATGATGAATCTATTTTCAAAGCACTGAAACATTTTTTTTTAACTGCAATTCATGACCAATTTAAGATCTAATTCTGTCTCCTCTCTCTCTAGTACTGGTTATCATCTCACCTGGTGTTAAAGGTCTCATCACTGAGATCAGGGGGATGATGCATAGATATGTCGCTCTTCATAGACACACAGCTGGGCTCTGGAGATGATGCTCTCTGGTTCTGGTAGTGAATAACAACCCTCTCCTCTCCCTCCTCACTGAGACTCATCTTACAGGGGGCATTCATCTGTGTCTCCATGAAGATGTCAGTTCTGCATGTGAAGATAAAATGACAAAAACTGGACAGTCATTTTTAGATAAAAACAAACAACAACAACAAAAAACTACCTCCAAAATAAAATCAAAGTTTCTATTTATTTGGATTAGATACATAAAATTACCAATGACCAAAACCTGACAGGCTTTATATATATAATAAAAACAAACAACAACAAAAAACTACCTCCAAAATAAAATCAAAGTTTCTATTTATTTGGATTAGATACATAAAATGACCAAAACCTGACAGACTTTTTATATATATATATATATATATATATAGCTGATGGTTAATTTCAAATTTGATATTAATCACATCATAATAAAATAAATAAACATGCCATACTGAATTATAATGGAATCTGCGTATGAATCTTGGCTTGTATAAAATGTTTCTGTCTAATTCTGTCTCCTCCCTCTCTAGTACTGGTTATCATCTCACCTGGTGTTAAAGGTCTCATCACTGAGATCAGGGGGATGATGCATAGATATGTCGCTCTTCATAGATACACAGCTGGGCTCTGGAGATGATGCTCTCTGGTTCTGGTAGTGAACAACAACCCTCTCCTCTCCCTCCTCACTGAGACTCATCTTACAGGGGGCATTCATCTGTGTCTCCATGAAGATGTCAGTTCTGCATGTAAAATGTAAAATGACAAAAACTGGACAGTCATTTTTAGATAAAAACAAACAACAACAAAAAACTACCTCCAAAATAAAATCAAAGTTTCTATTTATTTGGATTAGATACATAAAATGACCAAAACCTGACAGACTTTTTATATATATATATATATATATATATAGCTGATGGTTAATTTCAAATTTGATATTAATCACATCATAATAAAATAAATAAACATGCCATACTGAATTATAATGGAATCTGTGTATGAATCTTGGCTTGTATAAAATGTTTCTGTATTTTTAATGCCAGTGTATTAGCTACATTTTTATCAAAAATAAAAACTTTGATGAAGTGCATTAACTTAACATCTATTGATACAGATACAGTAATACAGATAAAATATCTATTCTTAATCCTGGTCCTGCACTTTCCAATTCATGGAGCTCTCTTTAAGGAGGATTAGTGAACCACTTTAGGATATATACTGTCACGAATCCGGTCCATGAACTTCCAATTTCATTGACTCTCGCACTACACACTGTTGCACATCACCCCGGACTACATTTTCCATCATGCATTGCACTGCTTATACTCAGCACGGATTGCACACAGCTGTTTACACTGATTGCACCCAGCTGTTTCATATCACTCCCTCACTATTTAACACTCACTCTGATCCCTTCCCTCTGCCGAGTATTGTTTCAGTGATTATCACTCCCCTAGTGATAGCAACACTACAGAGCCCTCAGTCATTTCCCAGCCTTAGCCTTAGCCTTAGCCTTAGCCTTAGCCTCTGTCTCGGTTTCTGATCTTCGCCTGGTTACCTGGATTTCTCCCTTAGTCTTGCCCCTTCTGATTCTGTCTGTCAATCGTCAAACCCACGCTAGCCCTAGGATTATTCTTGTGTTTTGCCCGCCATATACCTGTCTGCCTCTGTTTGACCCTGCCTGCTTCATGACCACGTCTC